CATGAAGAGGTGAGCAGGGCATGGTGGTGCGCGCCCATCGATCCCAGCTCAGGTGAGCAGGGCATGGTGGTGCGCGCCCATCGATCCCAGCTCAGGTGAGCAGGGCATGGTGGTGCGCGCCCATCGATCCCAGCTCAGGTGAGCAGGGCATGGTGGTGCGCGCCCATCGATCCCAGCTCTCAGGAGGTGGAGGCAGGGGGAATCTGTGAGTTTAAGGCCAGCCGGGGCTACATAAAGACCCTGTCTTAACCTGCATGTATGAGGTCCTGGATTTGATCCCTAACACACTGGGTCACCCCAGCACTGGGAGGAGACCCCAGGACTTCGGCTAGGCTACCCTACTTGGCAAACTGTGGAGCTAAGGGAGACCTTACATCAAAGAGAAGCAAGCTGGTGTGTCGGAGGATGGCTCAGTTAAATGCAGCTGCCATGAAGCCAGACCGCCCGGGTCCTGTCCCCTGGTCCCCACACGGTGGAGGGAGAGAACAGGCTCCTGCAAGCTGTCCTCTGACCACACACACCACGCTTGCACACACAAACCCCATAAATAAATAAACGGATAGAAAAACAAACGTTTGAAAAACCAAAGCAGATGCCTCCTGAGGAATGGACCAGACACTGCCCGGTGACTTCCACATTCGCACGTGCACACAGAGAGATCACACAGAAATAAGGCATATCAACGAATAAAACCCACTCAGTAAACACAAAGCAACCTGTGCTTGCTGAGAACCTGGGGTCAGGGAGGCCGGCTCCCTGAACTAGACTGTCTGGGGTGACTCACCCTCCCTCAGGGAGAAGCAGGTGGGGCAGAATTCTGCCTTGACCCATGGGGCACCTGCTGAGTGACGGCTGAGGCCAGCACCCAGCTGGCGTGTGCTGGCCCCGGGCCTTTGCACGTGCTGCTCTGGCTGGCCGGGGAGCCTGTGCCTGTGCCTGCCAGAATCCCACCATGGAGCGGAGGGCGCTGTCCCCATCCCTCCCCCCACATTGTGCACCTTTCTTAGGCCTCCAGAACGATCCAGGGCTTAGCTAATGAGGACAGACAGGCCCATTTGGGGGGAACTTGGCGCTGCAGAGTGACCCCAGGAGGCTGAGAACTCACTCCTGAGCCTCCTGCCTCAGTTGGCTCTGAGACATCTCCACGAACAAGGTCACAGGCTTCAGAAAAGGACCCCCTCACAGGGGGCTGCTCCAGGGATGACAAGGCCCTGCAGCAGGGAGGGTGGTGTGATGGAGAGGCTGCAGGACGCTGGTATTTTTAGGCACTGAACGAAGCCCTGAAGTATGTCCATGGCCCCTCCCGAGAGCAGGCTGGGTGACTGTTTTGGAGCCTGGTTCCAGCAGAGGCGGGATGGGATGGAGGGCATGAGTCACTGCCTGGTGGCTTCAAGGAGGAGGCCGGGCCAAGGGAGGGAGCTTGCTGGGTGGGATCTCACGTGGGTGCGGTGGCCTTGGTGCTGCCCCCCAGTGAGGCTCGGCCTAATGGAAAAATTGCCTGGGTCCCCAGTGGGACACAAGTCGGTCTTCACCAACTCCAGGGCTTGTAAAAAGTAAGGTATAGGCTGGACGGTGTGGCGGCACACGCCTTTAATCCCAGCTCTGAGGAGGCAGAGGCAGGCAGATCTCTGTGAGTTCGAGGCCAGCCTGGGCTACAGAGCGAGATCCAGGGCAGCCAGGGCTTAAAAAAAAAAAAAAAAAAAAGAGTAAGGTCTGGACAGCATGAGTGTTCCCAAAGACGCCACTCCATACATTTATTGACTACTTAGTGTTTGCGTTATACCAGGCTGGACCTAGGGTGATCACCATGCTGTGCATTTACTGAGCACTTGCTGTATACCAGGCTAGCCTTAGGGAGACTGTCATGCTATACATTTACCTGCTGTATACCAAATTGGTCACAGGGATGACTGCCATGCCACTATTTACTGTGTTCTTCCCACGTACAAGGCTAATGGCTCACCTGCACCACACATTTATTGATCACCTGCTGCATACCAGGCTGGCCCTAGGGTGATGGGAACGTCATGTATACATGTACTGAACACTTACTGCAGCGGAGGTGCAGTTATTATTACACAGCAGGGAAACTGAGGCACAGTTGGGTTGAGGTGGTCCAGGCACCTTAACCAGCACCTCTATGGCTCAGTTGCTAGTCAAGGGCCTTGTTTTGTTGTGTCCTGCTGGGGAGGGAACCCCAGGCCTCCCCACAGGCTGAGGGAGCCGCACCCCTTCCCAAGGGAGGATTTTTTATTTTTTGCAAGTGTATCACTGAGAAGCCCAGCAGCCCCTGCAAGGCGGAGCCCAGAGGAATGGAGGCTTTAGCAGAGCAGGGCCCCACCGCCCCGGTCCTCACCGCCCCGGTCCTCATGGCCCCGGTCCCCACCGCCCCGGTCCTCACCAGCTCTTGGCTCCTTGTTTGGCCCTTGAAGCTGAGCCCAGAGGTCACAGGCAACGCCAAGTTCTCGGAGGCGAGAGGGAAGCTGGGTCACCACCCGCTCCGGGTTTCGTTATTGTTGTGTTCTGTTATTTTTCTTGAGACAGGGTCTCCCTGTGTGGCCCAGGCTAGACTTGCACTCGCAGAAACCCACCTGCCTCTGGTGCTGGGATTAAAAGCATGTGCCTGACTGTCCACCGCTGTCTATTGCTGGGCAGTAAACACGGGCACCCTCCTGGGGGTGGTCTCAGGAGCCTTGGCAATGTGCTGGGGACACATGCCCGTCACCTGTCACCCAGGAGTGGAGGTGGGATGAGCTAGAGCTGAGCAGGCCTGGAGCCCAGGCAGGAGGGACCCAGCCTGGGTCTCCATAACTGATGGGGGAAGGGCGGCCAAGGAGGAGCCCGTGGTCTCCCAGCAGCAGCCTTGGGCTGCCCACTTCTCTCTGGTCCCATCCTCAGACATGCCAACAGGCCCCAGGGAGGCCGCCCCTACTCTATGGGAAGAGCCCCAACACCTCCCCCTCGTCCCAGCTCAAGTCTGCTGGCCACAGGGACTCTACATCCGTCTGAACACTAACTCTCCATGTGGCCTGCAGTCCTGTCTCATACACCCCCAACTTCTACTGCTCAGGATCAAACCCAGGGCTGTGTGCTAGGACTCTCCATGGTACCTGGGGGTCAGAGTTCTCCCTTCCACCATGCAGGTCCTGGAAATCAAACCCAGGCCGTCAGGCCTGGCAGGAGGCACCTCCGCCCACTGATCCATCTCACTGGCCCCCATTTTCCAGTCTTGAATGCCACCTGACCTCTTCCCTGGTGGCCTCAACTGGCTGGCCTCTTGTCCTTGCTTCCTCTGGGGAAGGACAGGGTTGCAGGGCAAGGGCCCCACCATGTTTCCTGGTGCCAGTCCCTGCACACTCGGCTAGCCTTGGGGCCACTGTGGGATGTCCTCGGGTCCCCAAGGTGCGTGGCCAGGCACCCTGGTGCCCCTCAAACTGTAGTTACTGAGGTCTGCCTGCAAGGGGTCAGCAGGGGGTGAAGGGAACATAAACATGCCACCCATCATGAAGCTCTGCCCACAGGAGAGCAGTGGAGGTCAGGTGATGGGTGTGGACGCCAGCCCAGCAGGCCTGGTTTAGACAGAAAGATCTGGAAACCAGACTTCAGGAACTAGGCCTGGCTTCTGGTTTCCTTTTTTCTGCAAAGGGGCTGAGGCCGGGTTCCTGGAACTCACTGGGAAGAACACAGAAACCCCATTCGGCTCAGAGGCTTCTCGAAGCCAAAGCACCTAAGCCAGGGTGCACGATCCAGGATGCAAAGGCAGCTGAGGTGACTGTCTTGTGTCCTGTGGGACAGGAATGCGGAGTGACACAGGGGCCCAGGAGGCAGGAGACAGAAGGACAGGGGACCTGGAGGGGCCTTGAGGAGAGGGCCAGGGTACAGACCTAGATTGTAGCCCTGCAGAGTGGCGAACACCTTTAATTCCAGCACTCAGGAGGCAGAGGCATGAGGATCTCTGAGTGAGCTCTAGGCCAGCCTGGTCTACACAGTGAGACCCTGTCTCAAAAACAACAAACCCCAACACTAGATTTTCTTCATTTATAGTGTCTGAGGCATGGCCTTACTCTGCAGCTAAGGATGGTTGGAACTCACGGCAATCCTCCTGTCCCCGCCATACCAGGCCAGGCTCATAGATCTGAAGTGTGGGCATAGTGAAGACAGGGTGGAGTCCATGGGCTGAGTGGCTGTACCAGCCACAGTCCTTACCCCGGGGCAGGCCTCAACATTGTGACCTGCCTGCCACGATGTGCTCCCTCAAAGTGCTGTCCAGGCAGGGTGTCACATGGGACCCAGCTGTGGGAGGGGGTGGCCCTGTGGTAGACTGCATCAAGACCAGACAACAATGCCAGGGCCACCCTGTCGCCTGGCACTAGGCTCTAGCTGGGAGGGGACACAGACCTTCTCAGCCAGCTGGTCTGAACTCTTTTTGAGACAGGGCTTCTCTGTGCAGCCCTGGCTGTCTGGAACTCACTCTGTAGACCAGGCTGACCTCAAACTCAGATCCACCTGCCTCTGCCTCCTTCTTGAGTGCTGTCTCGCCAAGTGTTCTTGAAGCCCTGGGTTCCAGCCCCGGCACCCACCGGCTGTAACTCCATTTCCTGTGGGTCTAATATCATCTGGTCTTCGTGGGCACCAGGCATGCATGTGGTACATACACACGAACAGCCACACACAGAAAAATAAGTGTAAGGAGAAAAGTTCAGCCCACACTGTGTCCTGGCCACCTGTCCTGGGGAAACAACCTGCCCTGACCCCCCATGGCCTGCCTCCGCCTCCACAGTGCTGTATCACAGACCTGGCTTTTTCAAGTGTCATGTAGCCCAGGCTGGCCCGGAACTCCCGTTCCTGCTACTGCCTTCTCAGTACGGGGTCCGCTCAACTCTCACCTCTGCTAGGGGACCAGGAGACAGAGACACTGTGGAACTGCTGCATCTGAGGATGAGCTGGCCAGGGCTTAGGGAGGTGATCTGGGTTGGGTGACGGTGGAGGGAAGGGCTGGCTGTCTGTGATGCTCGCCTTTATTTTCATAACAAGAGGTAAGGGGTCCACTGGGGAGGGACAGGCCAGCCCGACACGTGCTGACCTGTGGCTCCAACATGAAACTCAAAACAAGCCTGGAAAAAGCCGGCCCTTCAAAGAACATCCAGGGCTTCAGAGGTGCCTCTGACTTGGAACCTTCCAGAAACTGAGCCAGTGGCAGTCAGGGGCTTCACGCAAAGGCGCCCAGAGGCTAGCCCACCGTCCTGGGCTCTGCTTGGGCTATGCCCATTCACTGCTTGCCCGCTTGCCGTCCTGGTTTCTTCTCGGGCTGACCACGGCCCGCACCCGGGATGCCACCCCGGCCCCGGCCACCAAACACACCTGCAGGGAGAGAAGAGGTTGCGGCTGAGACACCAGCTTCCCTGTGCAGGGGCCACAAATGGCAGGTGGAGGACTGGCCTGCGGGAAGACCCCAGGCTGCACCGGACCCCCATGTCCTCGTCTACCCACAGGGGCCCACACCGTCATGGAGACTGCACAGGATGCAGAGGGGGTTCCCGGGTGTCCCTCCTGACCCCATCGGGAACCTACCTCGGCCAGCACCACCCATGCCTCGGCCTTTCTGCTGTTTCTGCTGCTGCGGTCCCCCTCGCCCTCGACCCTTGGCAGCCTCCTCCCGCACCATGTCGATGATCTCATCAGGGATACGCAGGTACTTGATGGTGCTGCCACGGATGTAGCACTCGGGCATCCGCCAGAACTTGTCGCCATCCCGTGACGTGCAGATCACCTCTCGGAGGTTGATGTTCATCCAGTTGTCGCAGCTCACCAGGTGCCCATTGTAGGTCTCCCCGTTCTTCAGCTCCACCAGCTGCAGGGGAGCAGCTGTGCGGTCAGGCCCCGCCCCACACGCCCAGACACACCTGCTTCTCTTCCTCAAACTACACCTTTCAGGCAACTAAACAGAAGCTTTGGAGGCCGGGGTGCCACTCGCCTAGGTTCCCTACACAGTGCATGAACAGACAAATCACAACTCCACACTAGCTGCGCATGGTGGCACACACCTGTCATCCCAGGACTCTGGAGGCTGAGGCAGGAGGATAGTGAGGAGACAATGGGCAAGCCCAGCCCGGTCATCTACACGAGGAACATCACACAGCCAAGAAAAGTGGACGAACCTCAAAACTGTTAAGCGACACACACAGACCACACGTTCCTCACTCAGAAATGCCCTCAAGATGGAAAGGCAGACACTGTGGACAGATGGACAGAGGCTGGGGGAAGAACTGAGGACGAGTGCCGAGGGAAATGAAGCTTACTTCTGAGGTGCTAAGAATGTTCTGGAATGAGACAGAGGTTGACAGAAACACTACACGTCAGAGGCAGCATTCCTGTGGTACTGGGGACAGAACCCAGGCCTGGAGCACGCTGGGCCACCTCTTGTCCACTCGGTCACACTCCTGCCCCTTTTAAAAAAACTGAGTCTTACAAGTTGCCCATGCTGGCCTTCAACTCACAGCAATCCTCCTGCTGCAGCCTCCCAGGCAGCTGGGATGACAAGGGAGTCACTGTGCTGGTCTGTGTGGTGACGCTGGGGATGGGACCAGAGTTGTCAGGCGCTCAGATTTTGGGCCTTTTACTCTTACAGTTGGATTTGTCTGTGTTCAGGGAGGGTGTGAGTGTGGAGGGCAGAGGACAGCTTCAGGGGAGTCAGCTCTCTCCTGCCATCACCATGCGGGTCCTGGGGATCGAACTCAGGTCCTCACATTTGGCCGCAAGCACCTTTACCCCCTGAGCCATCTCTAGCCCATCCAACACAAACTGCAGAGGACTGGGTGTGGACACGTGAGGAGAGGTGGCCCGGAGCGGCCGTCCTTACCATGGGGTGATTCTGCGCTGTCTTCAGCAGTGACAAGGGGAGCTGGAAGGCAAACATCACCGTGAGTCCCGGACGCAGGTGTGACTGCAGGCAAGGCTACCGCTGCACGTGACCTAGGCACGGGTGACCTCACACTGTCCCCTCCTGCAGGTGCCAGCCACCCACACTTGCCTGGACCATGCTGGCCCTTTCTCCATAACTCCTGCCACCCAGAAGCACAGGCACAGGCCGGGGCGTGGCCCTCCATGTCTAGAGGTAGCAACCTTGTAGGCTATTTATCTGCTTGCTCTCCTGATGGTGTCTTGTTATACAGCCTAGGTGGGCCACAGCCTTCTGAACCCCAAGGCTACACAGTGCCTGGGATTTCTGGTTCCACGGTTTTGGGGATGAGGCCAAAGGTTCCAAATCCAGTGGGGAAGGACTCCCTGGAAACACAAAGCACGCCCTGTTGCTGTGCCTCTAGACGGGGTGGCTTGGGGCATCGCCTGGGACACAGGTGGAAGGGCTGAGGGCTGGTCCAGGACATGGTGACAGAGCAGGTGGTAACATGCCTTCCAGACCCACAAACACCAACACAAGCTGGGTGTGATGCTGCACAGTTCTCACCCCAGCACCAAGGAGGCTGAGGTTGGGGGGTCTTCAACACAGCTTGAGGTCAGCCTGAGCTACATGAGACCTGTCTCCAAAACTACTACAAAAACCAAAACATAGCTGGGTGTGGGGGCACACACGTTTAATCACAGCACGCAGAGGCAGAGGCAGGTGGATCTCTGTGAGTTCTGGCCCAGCCAGGGTTATATAGTGAGGTCTCATCAAAACAAAACAAAACAAAAAACCCAACGAATCAAAACACAAAACAAAACAAGGGACCCAGACTCCTCAGAAACCACCAGGTCCAGTATGGTGACTTTGGGTCATGAGAGGACTGGGGACCCTGCAGCCCATGGCCCTTCCTCAGAAGACTGGGGAGGCCTGGTGGCAGAAGTAAGCTAGAGCACACTTCCTGTAGAGGCTTCCTGGGAGGACAGGAGGTGGAGGATGAGCTTGTGCCAATGGGTGCTGGGCAGATGGCCTTGGTGGTCAGTGACAAGGGTGTCCAGGCTGATCCTCAAATAAATCAGAGCCGCAGCATGGCAGCCTATGATAAGTGGGGGCACTGTCATTCTTGGCTACAGTGTGAAGCCAGCCTGGGATACATGAGACCCTGTCTCAATAGAGGTACAAACACAACAGTCAAATGCCCCGAATCCAAGGGACGGCAGGGGCTCAGGGGCCCAGACTGTGAAACGGCAACAGACACCCGTGCACAGCTCCCTGGAGCTGCTGGGGCCCAGCCCAGGCGGGGAGCTGCTGCCAGGCCATCCTACTGAACTTTTGTCCCTCCCGCCAGGGCCCAGTCACCGCCCAGGGTGCCCTTCCCCAGACTTTCCTTGCCCAATGCTGCTGAGCATGGCCCTCTCTGGCCAGACCCTAATGGCCACCCTGTTTCCACCCACCACAGCAGAGGCCGCTCTGTAATTACAGGGTAATTAGCACCAGTCTCCCCGGCTAGACAGGAGATCAGTGTGGGTGTGGGCTCTGCTGTGGCAGAGAGGGGCAGTAAACACTTGCTGTACACACAGGGGTGGGGACACTGCCAGCAGGGACACCCAGCACAGGTGCATCCTGTCTAGCCCCACAGGTAAGGAAAGTGTGCTCTGGGGACACAACCCTGAAAGGCTGTGGTGGCCCTCAGGGACCATGTTGGGGGACGGTCCAAACCCGTTGCGAGACAGGAAAGGATGAAGTGGGGTTCGTAGAGAAGTAATGAGTTAGTGCTATGGATGGGAAGGCCTGGGTTACAGGATGAGCACCAGCGAGGTGGGCCAGGGTGGACAAGGTGCCTGGGAGAGCCACTGGCTTTGGGAGGGTGCGATGTAGCTCCCTCCACACAAAGCACCTGCAGGAGTCACGGCCACTGCCTCTGGGCTCTAGTCCCAGCACCTCCCACCAAAGGAGTCTGTTTCAGGAAAGGAAATTCCTTCTTGGCCATCCTCCAGACTCTGGGGCTCAGTGTGTAGATGAGATGGGTGGAGGCCCAAAGCCGAGGGCTCTGAGTTCAGGAACGCTCAGCTGGGACACTCCTGTCCCAGACTGACCGCAGAGATCTGGGAGTGTCTCTGTGTGATTGCAGGGGGTGGGTCTCCTGCTCTGGACGCCCTGGGCAACTCCTCCAGGAAGGCCAGAGCTCAGGGGCTGGGTGGATGCCGTGTGGTAGGAACAGACTGAGTCGTGGGGGCCCCGGGGGTCCCACACCACACAATCCAGGCAGAGCGCTGTACCTGTCAACGCAGCACTCTGGAGTGAAGGCAGGATCGGTAGTTCAGGGCCAGCCTGGGCTACACGATGTCCAGTTTTAAAAACCAACGAACACAATCGGACATCCTACCAACAAGAACTGAGGAGATGGGTTATGTCTGGCTCTGCCAACTCGGGTCAACGCGCCGCTCGATAGAGCACGCGACTACGAGACCTGCCCTCCTTCGCCACCATGCTGTCCCAGGTCCAGGAGCCCAGGGCTGGGAGGCCTGAACCGGGGGAAAGCATTTCCTTCCTCCTGAGCAGGACATGCTGTGTGTCCCGAGAAGAAACAGCACTCGGGGCGGGATGTGTAGCAAAAACAGTGGGCAGCTACGGCCAGACGCGGTTACAGACGAATTCGGCCAAAGGAGCCCACGAGACCTTAGCCCCGCCCACTTCCGGAAGTACAGCATTCCCATCAATGACGGAGACAAATCCCGGAAGCGATCATAGTCCCTCTTCCGGCCGCAAAAACGTGTCCATCCAGAGACAGCTCCGCAATAGCGGCGGGCTGGGGCCCTGGAGAGGCCCCGGTGGCCTCCGGCCTCAGTTTCCCCCATCTCTCAGCAGCCCGAAGTCGCTGAGCAGGCGCCGCCCCCGCCCCGCCCCGCGGCCCTCACCATCTTCCTATGGAGACACTTCCGCCGCTGCACAGCCGCTCGCGCTCCCGTCGGCGGCCCGCCGCGCGCCACTAGCCTGAAAGGGACTGACGGAGACTCCGGCCAATCACAGCGGAGCCCAGGGGCTCTCACCCAATCGGCGTGGAGTAGGGTGGTGCCTGCGGAGCGCGCCGGCCGAGCGCGCCGTATTCCCACCGCGGGATTGAGGGGGCGGCCGTAAAGTGCGTCGACGGAGAGACGCAAAAGGCCGCGGCGCGCCTCGCGCCCGCTTCAGGTGTATGCTGGGAAGTGGCGCCTGCGCAGACGCGGGCTCCCGGGCCCGGTGCGGCGCCACACCGTGGGCGAAGCTGGTTAGTGCGTGTGGAGCGCGCGAGGCCGGGACGCCCGCCGGCCGGCCCACCCTCGCGCTCCTGCCTTCCGTCTAAGGCAAACGGAGCCCTCGAACGCGAACGGCGGGTCCAGCTGCTCCCCAGCCGCCGCAGGAATGTGAAAACCCACGGCTGGAATCGTGCTTTGACCCAGGCAGGCTCCTGGGCAGCTGAAGATGGTCGTCAAGTCCCAGCGGAGCCCCTCGGCTTCCTGAGTGCTGGCATTGTCCGCTTGTAATGAGCACAGTGAAAGATGCCTTTCGGACACGCAGAAATAGCTTCGTCAGGAGCCCCCCACACCCAAGGCTGCACCTGATGACCACAACCGAGTGGCGTCACTCAAGACGCAGTCCTGGACCCCAGGATGCCCACGGACAGTCCGTAAGCAGAGCCCGAGAGCAGTGCTCTGCTCTGCACACCTAGAGAGATGCCGCCGTGATCTGCACAGCAGCCAGAGCATCTCCCCCAAGATCCTGACCCTGTTAGAGACTGGACCTGACCTTCAGCAAAGGTCCATTGCGCAGGTGAGCAGCCTTGGGACTTCAGAGTGGACCTGTGTGCTGACATCGGCATGATAAATATAACATTTTTATGCTAACTGTTCGCATCTTCCTTCTCGCTCAGGACACCGCTGTGGGCCACCTCGCCAGCCCCCTGCTTTTTCTTTTTTCTTTTTGTTTTTCGAGACAGGGTCTCTGCGCGGCCCTGGCTGTCCTGGAACTAGCTCTGTAGACAGGCTGGCCTCCACCTTACAGACATCCTCCTGCCTCTGCCTCTGGAGTTCTGGGATTGAAACAGTGTGTCACCATGCCCAGCATGCTGCACATTGTGTCTTCAGGTTCCCATGCCCAGAAAGCACTGTATCCACCGAGCCATCTCCCCGGGCTTTCTGTTATTTACTTTTATTTTCTTGGCTGCTGGGCATGGAATCAGAGCTCAACCCTGAGCTGTCCCAGGGCAGCTGCTTTACCAAGCTGCCGAAAAACTCTGGTGCATAATGTCGATGGTGATAGTCCCCTGTGCCCCAACTGTGACCCAGGAGACTCCCTTGGCACCACTACCCAGGGCTCTGTGAGTGCTGGAAGTCTGCACTGTGTCTCAGAAGGAAGGGTGGAGGCCCTGAGCTCTGGCCCCACACCACCAAAATTTAAAATATAAATGAGTAAATACTGGGGAAGTTGAGCGCAGTGGTACACGACTGTCATCTCAGCACTGAGGAGGTGGAGGCAGGAGGATCAGGCTATCCTCGGCTACACGTGCAGTTCAAGAACAGCCTGGTCTCCATGACTCCGTCTCCAAAAAGCAAAAGAGAAATGTGGCAGGGGACCCACTGACCCCCTGTCTTAGGTTAGGGATTCCCTGGCAGCCCAGAATCTTGTGAGATGGGGACCAAATGATTCGTGATGTCTCCTGTGGGGATGAGGATCTGGGACACCCAGGGGAGAAGTACCCCATGATGGGGGCCTTGCACCCCAACAGCAAGGCCAGTGAATTCCAGCAGTTGGTGTCAGCCTCCATGGGGAGCCTGGGCTAGCTCACGCTCCTCCTAGTGGGCAGGATCCTTGAGACCCGAGGTGCTGCTGGGAATCTCACTGGGTCACGTCGGTGGAGCGACCAGGGCAGAGCTGCCTGATGGCTACAAAGAGCAGTGTCTCAGCGCGCCAGAGGAAGCAAGGAGGAAATCGCGGGCTGGGCCACCCCTTTCAGCCTCTTCTAGACTTTTCTCTGAACAGTCTTCTTTGCAGATTTCCAAAACTCCCTTTCAAGCTTGAAAGCTCTGCTTGGGCGCCCCATGTGGTGCGATTGCGTCACTTCAGTTTTGTTAGATAACCCCTTTTTCTGTTGTTTGTTTTTCCTGGACAACTGGGATGAAACCTAGGCCTCACACATAAGCCACACCCAGCCCCTCAATACGGGATTCTAAGCTGTCAGTCTACCTCTGAGCCACGCCCCCAGCCCCTCAATACGGGATTCTAAGCTGTCACTCTACCTCTGAGCCACGCCCCCAGCCCCCTCACTGGGGGATTCTAAGACCCTGTCCTAACCTACTGAGCTTTTCACAAGCTTGCTTTTAGGGTAGTCGTAGGGGAGTCCTCTGAGTGGCCAGACCTGGGGCCTGTCTGCGTGATGACCAGGAGGCACCTAACAACAGCCTCAGTTACCGCTCCTCACTGACTTCTTTGCGCTTCAGCTCACAAGACAAGATGCAGGGAAGAGTTACCACAGCTGGCGGTGCAGAGAGCATTGAAGTGTGGCCTGGGCTGCTGTGGCTGCGGCGCTTTGGAGCAAGTGCACGTGAGTGCTGCTTCTTCCAAGACGTGGCACGCGTCCTAACTGGTCTAATAACAAAAACCAGATATTGGGGTAAATGTTGAAGGATCAGAGAGACAAAGGAGCAAGCCACAGCCACTTCTCACCTTGCCAACTCCTCGGCCTGAAAAAGGGGCCGAGCTCCTGTCTCCGCCAGCTGGCCTTATATTCCTCTCTCCTCCCAGCCCTACCACGTCCAGATTCCTCCTCCCTAGTGCTGGGATTAAAGGCCTGTGCCCCCCAAGTACTGGGATCAAAGGCATGAGATCCCCAGTGCTAGGACTGAAGGCGTGTGCCACCACGGCCTGGCCAATATGGTTAACTAGTGGCTAGCTCCACCCTCTGATCTCCAGGCAGGCTGTATTTGTAAGAGCACAAACAAAATATCACCACATTTCCCCTTTTCTGTCTAAAATAAAAAAAGGTTATAACTAATATAAGAAGAACTATATACAATAAGTACAATAACTATATACAATATATACAGGCAATTATTACATCAACAATGTCTAGTCCATTAACAATCGACACTCAGAGAAAATGTTCCATATCTGTCCTATCCTGGAGTACGAAATGTTGTACCTAATTCACTTTCTATTCTAACTTGCATTACAAAAATTGTCTTTTAATGTCTTTCAACCCTATGCACTTTACACCTCTTTAGTGAATTTCTTTTCTGAATCTGGTAACAGGGATAAAGATAACTATAAAGTCTTCAACTCCATCAGAGAACTGAGAAGGAAATAATATTACCTGAGTAGGCAGGAAGTGCAATCAAGCGACTTCCAAAACACTGTGAGTTATGACAGAGACAGCTGCTGCCTGGACAGCCACCCAAGGTTCCTCTGCAAGGTTGAAGCGTCCATCTTCAGCCTACAGGCCTAGCATATCTGACAGACTTTTCTGTGAAGCAGGATTTTCTAAAGGGCCTTCCTACCTTGTCTTGGCAAGGTTTGGTAGTCCTGCTTCTCCAGTTTGGACAGCATACTGTCAGCAGTCGAGGCAAGGGCATTTTCTTGTCCAGTGGCTAACTTTTGCCACAAAGAAAGTAAACCCCATATAGTTTCTTCGATGCCCATCATCTTCTCTGAAGTAGGTTGTGTTAGGGTCCTAGAGAAGTCCCACAAAAGACCATCATTCATGTCTCTAGAAAGCTTCCAGCATGCTGGGACCTGCCATCCATACAAAGGCAAGATGGCGAAGACCCTGACAGACACATGTGAGCTCCTTTTAAGCATAGCTGAAGGGGAGTGTCCAAGGAAGTTAGCTCATCTTAGATATGATTGGCTTATGTGAGTGGCAATCATGTTAGTAACTTCTAATTACCCAGGGCTAGTTAGGGACTGGTCAGGCTATAGTTTTCCCTTTTTGGGCAGGCTTGGACAAGTCCCAGGCTTTGTCCTTGAGTTGCTGTGGAGGCTGACTGTACGAATTGACCATGGGGGCCAGCTCAGTGGCCCAGGCTTGGTGCGTCTTATCTCCCTTGACCTTGTGGTCAGGGACACCAGTGATCGATTGTCTTTTGTTCACGGCTCCTCCTTAGAAACTGCCTGCTCAGTCTCAGGAAACTGAAATTGAGGCCTGATCTCAGAGAGAAGACTGAGCAGCCTGTTATGGCGTCTGCTTGGTCCTCTCAGATTGGTGTAGCCAGAAACAGACATGTCTCATTGTCATAAAAGAAAAAAAGAACCTGTGTTCTTAAAACATCTTAAATGCCACATTCTGTAGATCTCTGAAGTGTTTGAAGATGACCTGTCTATCTAAAATATATCTCTGTTTGACCTTGAAAACATACCTAACCTGACTACAATTGTGATTGTAATAGGTGACTGACTACTGACCTGCATTTCCTTATTACCCTGGAGAGTTGGTAATAACTTTCAAGGACTAGAAATTTGTATTACACTGTTAAATAGTTGTATGGGTATAATAGCCTGAAAAAGATTAGAAACGTATGTACAATATGTTCTAACAAAAAAAATCTTAAAATTGTATTAACAAAGATCCATATCAATGTAAAATAGTTAAAATAAATAGTTGCTTTTTAAAAGTAGATCTACCCTTTTATCCTATTATATCTATATCCCCCTCCCCCTTTTTTCTTTTCAGAGTAGATTCAATAATCTACCCTTTATCCTATTATTTTATATCCTCTTTTTTTTTTTCAAAACAAGAACCCTGAATCTAATCTCCTTTGTACAACTTTTTTCCTGTCCATTATCAATTACAGCTTGTAATGTTGCACCCTAAATGATGGCAAATATCCATAACCCATTGAATGACCAGAAACCACCCACCCCACCACTTGGGAATGTGGGTATCATGTTCTTAAATATACTTCCTGTTGTCTGGGGGCGATGGCATCTTTAGGGGATTCTGAAAAGAAAAATTTGGGTTAATTGTCAAGTCCTGGGAGAGTTAGCTATACAATTTGTTGTCCGTGTGTGCATAATGGGAAAGTGCAGGGCTTATCTCAAGTCCTGGCTAGAGTAGTCTGTGAGACTGGATCGTCTCAGCTAGCAACCTTGAGATTGTCCTGAGCAGTTTGTAGTCCAAAGCCGATCTTTAGTTGGTGATTTTCAGCTTAGTGGTGTTATCATAGTCCTGGTAGAATCATCAGTGTGGGGCTCCATCCTCCTTTTGGAGACTTCAAAAATTGCTGTTAGGCATGGTCTTGGTTCACTGCAGAAAACTTTAACATTTTAAATGTCATATGCAGCAGATCTCAAAGAGGTTAAAGGATCAATATTTGTTATGTACATCCAGAGTACAAAAACTGAATTCCTAGCTACCTGATAGAGACTCAAATGTGAAATCATGCACAGGAAGCTAGATGAAGCTTTTTTCTAGAATTAGTTAGTACTCTATATGACCATTAATATCATGACAAAAAGTTTAAAATATATACATATTAATCTTATAAAATTTGAGATAATATTTGTAACCTTAAGAGAAGCTTTAAAGAGTCAAAATAAAACCGAAGGATCACGAGATGAGTAGCAATAAAATAGTCCCTGAATTCTGGTTTTCCTTCTGTCCCATATCATATCAGGTGACTCTTCTGACATGAGCAAAGATTTTGGATTTACTTTAACAAGCATGCTTGGGTTTAGAGAAGGAGAAAGCCACACGCCAATCCACAGCCAGCTTTAATATTTAATTGAACTGGGACTACAAAAAGACCATTTGCGTTATATGTCTGTAGAGAAGAGCAGAAACAAACATTTAGGAAGACTTATGAAATTTTATTCTGGGGCTGGAGAGATGGCTCAGAGGTTAAGAGCACTGCTTGCTCTTCCAAAGGTCCTGAGTTCAATTCCCAGCAACCACATGGTGGCTCACAACCATCTGTAATGAGATCTGGTGCCCTCTTCTGGCCTGCAGGGATATGTGCAGGCAGAACACTGTATACATAATAAATAAATAAATCTTTAAAAAAAAAAAGAAATTTTATTCTGTTGAAAATGTGATATACGGACAATTTACACTTTTTCTTGAGACATCTTTTCTGGATGATTTGTCCTTTTTCTTCACATGTCTCATCTGTTCAGTAGTCTTCAGATTCCTTAGCTGGACGCCTTCATTCTCCTGAAAAGACAAAAACAAAACCCTCCCCAACTCTGACTTTAGGGAGGTTCCCTTTTGGCACGTTATATCTGATCAAATGAGAAGCATTTGTTAGTCATGTAAGTTAGTTTAAATTGGATGGTCACGCTGTTTGCTGAACTATCGCCTCTTCTAATTCAGAGGTCTCTCTTGTTCCAGACTCTGAGTGGATGATGCAATGGAGGACAACAGAGTCACCCAGGTGGCTAGCAGTCGAGGAGCTTGCTACCAAGACTGATGAGCTGAGTTCAATTCCTAGTACACACAGAGTAGACCCCCTCCACATTCTCCTTAACAAAAATATAATAATTTTGTTTACGTTTAAAAGAACATTTTTTATTGTCTTTAACTTTTAGAACTCTGTTTTGTATTACTATTGTATGTCTTGTGGGCACACGTGGGGGAGGGTCCGTGTGCCATGTGTGGCCTTCAGAGGCCAGCTGTGACGCCGGCCTCTCCTCCATTACTCTCCATCTCGCTTTTGGAGGAAGGGTCTCCCACCCATTCTGAAGCTTGCCCGTCTGCCTGTCCAGCCAGTGCGCTCCTGGCGTCTCCCTGACTCCCCAAAGCTGGCCCATGCAAGGCTGTGTCTGGTCTTTGAACTCAGCCTTTTGCTTGCACAGCCCATGCTGTCACCCCACTGGGTCATCTCCCCTGGGCCCCTGAACAAGCAGTGGGCACAGTGGCCCACACCTGTGTGTCTTAGTCACACCTGTTCTATTGCTGTGACAAAACACTATGACCACAGCAACTTGGGGAGGAAAGGGTTTGTTTGGCTCACACTTCCATATTGTTGTCCATCACTGAAGGAAACCAGGACAGGAGCTCACACAGGGCAGGACCTGGAGGAGGAGCTGATGCAGAAGCCATGGAGGGGTGCTGCTTACTGGCTGGCTCAGCCGCTTTCTTATGGAAGCCAGGACCACCTGCCCAGGGATGGCACCACCTGGAATGGGCTGGGCCCTCCCCCATCAATCACTAATTAAGAAAATGTGTTACTAGAGACCAGCCTGGTCTACAGAGTGAGTTCCAGGACAGCCAGGGCTACACAGAGAGACCCTGTTTCAAACCACCACCCCCACCCCCAAAAAAAGAAAGATAGAAAATGCCTTACAGACAGATCTGTGCAGGCGTTATTGCGGTCCCCTCTTTTCAGATAACTGTGGTTTGTGTGTCTAGTTGACATGAGACCAGCACACCTGTCATCCCAGCACATACACCCTGAGGCAAGAGGACTGCTGTGAGTTTTAGGAAGGATGGGGATCGGGCGATGGTGGGGCTTGCAGCCATGCATGTCTACCAGTGCCATAGCAGCATGACAACCGTGGGCTCATTGGTGCTTATTGCACATATTTGAGTCCTGCTGCAATGGAGGACTTGTGTCTGTGGCAGGGAGGGAGGGAGGGAGGGAGGGAGGAAAGTGATAGGTTTTCTGTACCCCGAGAATAAGTAAGCTGGATCAAGCCAAATTAAAAAGTAATATTTGGGCAAAGCACTCCCAGGGGACCCTCCAGCCCCCAGAGACAAGGAGGGGAAGGAGCAGGAGAGAAATCACATGACTGGTCTAGAGGAGGGGGCTTAAATACCCTGTAGGTGTGAGCGATGACACATCCTCCAAAGGCTGGGTTTGTGCCCAATTGTAATGCTTTGGATGGAGACGTGGGGGGCTGGCAGCCTCAGGCAAGGAGCTGCTGTGACCACCAGGAATGCAGAACTGGACTTTTGGGGGTCTTTATGAAAGGACGGGGTATGGGGAGGGAGGAATGGGACCAAGCTGGAGATTCCAACTGAACAGGAAGGAGGGAAGGAAGGAAGGAGGGATGGAGGGAAGGATATGAATGTGAAGGGAAAGTTGGCGTGGGAGGAGGTAGAAACGAAGGAAAGGGGAAGAGGAGGGGAATTCGTCAGAGCTGTGTGTGAAAGTGTCTGGATGAAGCCGTCATCCTTCAGTGAACACAGGCTGATGCAGCACACCTTCATCCCAGCACCCAGGAAGAGGCGGGTTGTTGTTAGGACCCTGCCCTCACCCCTGCACATGCGCAGTTTGGGGTCTTGCATCATCAGTGTGTGCTGGCGACTGTGTATGCACCTTAAAAAGCCGAGGCAGACCCCACCCTCCCTCTCCGCTCTGCTCCCTCCCCCCACCATCTTTCTCTCTCTCCAGGCCTGGCTCTCCTCTTCCCCACCCCCTTTTCCTCTTAATAAAGCTCTGAAAACTAACACTGGGTTCTGTCGTGACCGTGACCTTTCCGCCACCAGCGCCATGTGTCATCCTTTCAGTTATTGACGTAAAGTAGAGGCTAGCCTCTGCTACATGGCAAACATTTATCATCCTTTCAGTTATTGACGTAAAGTAGAGGCTAGCCTCTGCTACATGGCAAACATTTCCAGCGTTACCAGAATCAAAAGTAACAAATGAACCAACAGTTCCAACAGTGCTGATGTGGCGCATTCCTGTTACCCAGCCTCAGGAGCAGGGGCAGGGGCATTGCTCCAGGGCTGAGGCTATCCTGGTCTGTACAGCAAACGCTTCTGAAAGCAGAGAGGGCGGAGAAAGAAAAGAGAGCCAGGAGATGTGAGTGATGGCCATGTCCTTAATACCAGGAGGCAGAGCCGGGGGGATCTATTGAGTTTGAGGCCAGCCTGATCTACATAACAAATTTTGGACCAACCAGGGCTACATAGTGAGAAGCTGTCTCAAAAACAATGTAAAATAAAAAATGAAGAAAAGGTGGGGGGCTGCAAGAGTGAGTAAAGACACCTACTGTCCAGACTTGGAGACCCGCAGACCATGCCTGGAGTGGAGGCAGTGAAGGTATGGCCCTTAGCTCTCACCAAGGTCTGTTATGCGTAAAGATCTGTACACACTGTCGCAGGCAGGCCTGGCTGAGGCCCTGGGGCTGGAGCTACAGGCTGCACTTGTCCTGTTTCCCCAGGGTGTTCAGAGTTCCCGATGGCGTGCTAGCAGGGGTGTGGCCTGGCTGTAGGTTTGCCTGGTGTTCCTTTTGCTCCAGGTCTCCAGGGAGCGTCTGACTGATGCCAACCAGGGTGATAAACAGCCCCAACTCGCTGCTTGTTTACAGGGAAATGATGGACTCAGATAGGAACTTAAAGCATGCACCTTCCAAGCACCTCGACATCCATGTGTTGGACACCTGCACACACAACACCCCGAAACCTGCCTTCCGCAGGAACCCTCCCACATACATATAGTGAAAGGTTCATGCCAGCATTGTTTACAGGTTGGGGGGGTAATGCGATAAATCCATGGGAGTCTGGTTAAGGAGTAGTAGGGAAATTTATTAGGCTATAAACTGAGGAAATACACACAATTACAGAATGGAGTAGACAGCTGAAGTCATCCTCTGATCTGACTGGGAGTGAATCCACCTCGAAGTTCAATCACACCAGGAAGAGGGCCAAAGGAAGAAGGGCCCATGACCCTTCTCCCTCTCCTTTTAAGAGGTCAAGTATAATGGCAAGAAGCCCCGCCTCCTTCAGGCCCCATAGCCAAAGGTCATAGGTAGAGCAAATACCACTACATTTCCCCTTTTTGTCTAAATAAGAAAGTCCTAAACTTAATGCAAACTATATACAATAAGAATGATTGCTGGGTGGTGATGGCGCACACCTTTAATCCCAGCACTCGGGAGGCAGAGGCAGAGGCAGGCAGATCTCTGTGAGTTCGAGGCCAGCCTGGACTACAGAGCAAGATCCAGGACAGGCTCCAAAGCTACACAGAGAAACCCTGTCTCAAAAAACCAAAAAAAAAAAAAAAAAAAAAAAAAGAATGATTATCAAGTATTGTCCAGGAAAAACAAAGGGTGATAACTTAAACAAAAATGGAAATACAACCAACAAGAACAACATCAACAAAAAACACGTGCTAAATGTCCAGAAATGTCCAGACCATAGGTAAATGACAAATTACCAAGATTATTCAAATAGCTGTCCTATCCTGAAGATTCTAACTCTAGTACTTAATATGTTCTACCTAAGATACAAGAAGACTGTAACTATCTAATCTTCAACTCCATCATAGACCTGAGAAGGAACATAATAATATCTGAGAAAATAAAAAATGCAAGCAAGCAATTACCAAATTCTTGTGAGAACAGCTGGTAGCCTGGACCATTACCTGAAGTTTCTCAGCACCGTTGGGGCATCCAAATTTGGCTACAGCCTAGAATATCTGACAGGCCATTTTCAGAAGCAGGAATTTTAAAAGACCATCTTACCCTGTCTTGGCAAGATTCAGCAGTTGCTTTTCCTTGTGTCCTGCTTGTCCAGAAAGGACAGCATTCATACTGTCAGCAGTCAAGGCAAGGACAGTTCTTTGCCCAGCAGGCCATTTTGTGCCAAGAAGAAGACAAACTTCCAAACAGAAATATCTTAGAAGTCCAACATTCTCTCATGTAGCTGGAGTTTTCTCTCCGGGTCCTGCCAAGCCCCGGCAGTCTCCGACAACCCACTTATAAAATAAACACACAGACGCTTATATTATTTACAAACTGTATGGCCATGGCAGGCTTCTTGTTAACTGTTCTTATATCTTAAATTAACCCATTTCTATAAATCTATACCTTGCCACATGGCTTGTGGCTTACAGGCATCTTTACATATTGCTTGTCATGGCGGCAGCTGGCGGTGTCTCCCTCTGCCTTCCTGTTCCCTCAATTTTCCTCTCTGTTAGTCCCGCCTATACTTCTTGTCTAGCTACTGGCCAATTAGTGTTTTATTTATACAGAGCGATAGCCACAGCACTCTCGGGATCAGATTGTTGCTGCGAGGAGTGATTGTGTCTCACGTCATCAGAATTCTAAGTTATCAAAACATTTAAATGCCATATTCTCCAGGTCTATGAAGTGTTTGGAGACTACATATCCATCTGACATATGTTTCTGTAAGTCTGGAGAACCTAACCAACATAACGATAGAGATGACAAGCATAGGTGACTATAAATCTGTAAGTCTTATCTACCGAAATAACCTAAGGACTAAGGCTTCACGTGAACAGGATAAACAGTCTGTAAGCAGATGTACCATATAAGGACAATGACCTCAAAATTGTGACAGTACACAAAATAGCTTAAACTGAGGTAGGAATGTATAGCACAATATGATAAAAATATCCTTGATCTGTATCAATATACAAAATATCCTAAACAAGCCGGGCGGTGGTGGCGCACGCCTTTAATCCCAGCACTCGGGAGGCAGAGCCAGGCGGATCTCTGTGAGTTCGAGGCCAGCCTGGGCTACCAAGTGAGTTCCAGGAGAGGCGCAAAGCTACACAGAGAAACCCTGTCTCGGAAAAAACAAAACAAAACAAAACAAAACAAAAAAATATCCTAAACAGAGGTAGAACATATATACAGTATGACAAATACAATTTTACATTTGTATCAATATACAAAATATTTCAAACAGGAGTAGAAATATATGTACAATACAACAATTATAGTTTTGTATTTTTATCAATATACAAATTATCTTAAATAGGAATATAAGAATTGTTTACATTTGTATCAAATATACAAGAAATATACAGGTGGCGCCTGGCTGTGAGGCACGGGTAGGATTTCCACAGGAGGAAAAGGCGTGCACTCGAAAAACTGGAAGCTGAGGTGAGTACAACTGGATAGTAAAAGTGATAAGTGTAAATAAAAAAGCAGACACACGGTAGAAACTTTGTGAACAAGTGTAAAAAGTAAGTTTGGGCCAGGGAAATAGAAAACAGATGTTTGTACATTTTCTTAAAGATATCTTAAAGGCTAGAGGTACCAAAGTAGGAGGTCAGCAACTGTGTTAGAATGTGTAGAGATTTGTCCTTGGTTTCCTGAGCAGGGTACCTTGGATGCAGGTCTTGGAGACGTATTGGAGTTGAGATACAGCAGTGTTATGATAAGCATGGTCCAGAAAAACTCCCAATGGATGTCTTTAGTCTCTGGACACTTATTCATAACAGTTTAGATCTTCATCCTGACAGCCAGAAAATGTTTCCTGAATCAAGTAAAATGGAAACCAGACATTCTGCTCCGTCAGAGGGACCACTTTATGCAGATGCTTTCATAAAATTATCCGACGATGGTGGCCAGTA